GCCAAACAGTAAAAAAGTGCCACGTTTGCAAAGGACAAATAGTTCACTACTTTAGCCCACCGGTGTATTGAAGAGTGAATCAACATCATTTTAATTTTGAGTACGACGTTTCGCTGGCCGTGTCGGGTGGTGGAGGGTTACGACACATTTATAAATAACGCGATCTAACCCAAACACCTTTATTATGAATAACATTGGTCGCGAAAGCCTACGTGTTAAACTGAATATCAATAATAATGAATACATAAAAATTGATGGCAATGACAACTGGCAGCAAAGCAAAGCATGCGACCGTTATTTGAAATGTCAATCATAGGCTCGGTGTCTGTGCAGTAATTGCATTTTTTGAGAGACCGCCGGGAAATATGGTAATGGTGATACAAAAATATCGGAGCAGAATTCCTCATTCACATGTCAAAGAAAAGAGAAGCGGCGGCGGCGGCGGTAGGGGTGGTGGTGGTGGTGGAGACGTGATTCATTAGGGCACTGCGTTGTCATTAGCACACGCGCCCTCTCGCAGCTGCAGGGAAGGAAATGTAAGCAGCGTTTAACCGCCTTACACAAATATCCCTCTGACCACGTAAGAACCAAGGAGCAGAGGACCTAATTTATGTTGCAATCGGATGGCACCTCCGATTGGCGCGGCTGGCTAAGGTACGGTGCGAAAGAAGTTCAACATACACAAAGACAAAGATCCCCCGTATAGCCTGAAACAAACTGTCGGGGCAGGTGCTGTTAGCGAGCACCTATGAAGGCCGGCATGGCACACGAGGGGCTCGGTGGCCAACACCACGCCCGGCCGCCTTTGTCTCCCCAGTGATGATTTTTACATACCGTACCGAGTACTCATTTGAGGCGACCTAGGGGAGGCACCGGACCGGTTCAAATAATCGTCACTGATGTTTGCAGCGAGCGGGAATCGAACTCGGGTCACCAGATTCGGAGTGTGGCGCGCTAACCGCTACACTGCACCACCGCTCCCCACACACACGCGCGCGTGCGTGCACAGTCCCCGCGTCGCAGATCCCACAAAGCGGACGCAGCGCGCGCGATGCCTTCCTCTCATGCTGCGAGAGCTGAAACCTTTTTCGCAGCCTTCGCTGTTCATAAAAAAAAATATATATACATACAAAATCTGCGCGAAAATGCACGAGAGGTTTCGTTTTTAAAGATGTGTGCGGTTGTTTTTCTTTTGGTGTTTTCTTTGAGAAAATGAAGAAAAAAAGATGTATGTTACGTAACGCGTTATTACAATTATTGCTGTGATAGTCCAGGAAATTCGACGAGTGGACAGGCAAGCTGCACAACACAAAGGGACGATAACAATCCATCGGCCAGGTAAACACGTCATGTGATTTGGAAAAGGAAATTATATGTGAACAAAAACCCGAGCCCACTGTTGCCAAAGACCGTGCACTCACTTTTGAAACGAGGAACGCAGCTCAACGATGTACGCAATACGTACACACGCACGCATATACACACGTGGTTGTCCTGATGTCTTCCAGAAAATAGAGAGAAGCTAAATGTTTGATGTAAAATACAAATAAATATCAATTGACTTTGCATTGCACGCAAAATACAAGGCACGCTTCTGGAAGCTTCCACGTATCGTTCTAACGGAAAAAATGCATTTACAATTCATTTTAAAGTAAAACAGTGGATTGAACGTAGTTGTGGCTGCTGATGATAATGATCATAATCGATTGCCCATGGCTGCTGCTGATGAATTGATCATGGCTGATGATGATGATGATAGTTTCACAGCAAACGGAGCATTCATTATTAGAAATATCAGAAAATCACTGGCATGCTCCAATTGGATTCACACACCGTGGTGCACAACCTGAATACTGAACAAGGGCATTAAATGCTGGAAGTGAAAGCTGGGAGAAATTACATCGAGGCGTGGTTGGTGGTGGTGGTGGTGGAGACAACAGTAATTTGTTATTCGTGGGGTGCTCTGAACAATCAAATCGAACCCCAGTTGTGAGCTCTTATTAAAAGGTCATCATAGTCAAATGCATTATAATCATTGCCCCCCCCCCCCCCAACCATCACCAAATGTGTACGTCTTACAGAAAAGTATTTTCTGTAATGAGCTGGCTGAGGGATCTCATTGCTTTCCGAATGCATGCGTTCCTTTTGAACGCACTCAGCGAAATGTTTTTTTCCAGTGGTTCCTGCTTACATTTTTAACAAATATCGTGGGGGATTGGGGGGTAGAATCGCGAAGTAATGACGCTCGCACGAGACACACACGACAAGAAGGCGAAAATAAAATTGTCTGTACCAAAAATGTCTGTGGCGAGTGGGGGAGTGGGGGAGACGGAGCAAGGTGGGGGGAGGGGGGGTGTCGAACTCATGTTATAATTGTCTCCGCTACAAATGGTGATACTGACGAACATGCAGGAGGAATGCAAAATGTTCGGTAATTTTAACTCGGAGATTGACAGACCTTGCCCCCGCCCCCCCCCCCCCCCCCCCCCCCCCCCCACGAAAGGGCCCGCCCATTCGATTACGCGGCGCAAAGTGAACGTCTGAATTATGTATGACTACTTGTTTTGCCCAAACTAAATAAATAAACCAAAATGGGGGGATGCAGACAAAAAAAATCAATAAGCAAATCGCGCACCCCCTCCCCCCTTACGCCCAATCTCGCCGGATCTTGGTCGCTAAAGGAAGGGGCTGGATCCTGGTTGCAGTGGCGAGCGCTTTGGATTTGAGCGACCGTCACTCGCGCATAACCAGGTGTTGTAGGCGCGGGACCTCGGGCTGCAAGGGGCCCAGGAGATGGCAGTGTGGCAAAGGGCTCAGTCCATGTGTAGATTGGGTCGGCTCTGCCTTTTGAATTTGCGTCCATCTGGCGCCGAGATTTGAGTGCTATCCCCTGCAATACGCCGTGGATTGTTTTTCTCTCTCCGCGGTTACTTCGGTTTTTCTTTCCACGCGAAGCCAAAACTCTCATTCATGGAATTAGGCAAATTGTTCCAACGAAGCAGGGACCCTCCTGAACACGAATTCGTCTTTAAGGCGTTGTTTTTCTTTTTTTCTTTCCCCTGTAGTCAATACGTGGCATTCTCCGTGACAAAATACGCCCGAGTAAATTGGGGCTGTGCTCATCCAATGCAATGAAAGCGACCCGACCGTCATCGGTCGAAACAACTCACGGAAAATTCTGCCGATTCAAGGACGTTTCTATTTTAAACCCCCGGCAAGGTGCAGTGGGCTAATTTAATTAAAGCATCCACCGCTTGTGAGCACGCGGCAGCGGAAAAAAAAAACGCACAATGAGGTGGAGGAGGAGGGTGGGATGCGGACATTTGTCCTGTCACGAGTTCATAATTCACATCGGACAGCCGTCTGCGCATCAGCGGTTTTATTTACAAGCGCTCAACGTGATGAAAAGAAAAGAGGTGGGGGGAGTGGAGGGGGGCGAGGAGTGGGGGAGGGGAACCTACACCGACCACCACCACCCTGCCAATGCCTGATAAGGCAATGGCTTTGCGCTGCTCAGTGACTACAATTGCGCATGGCTGTCGAACAAACAAGCACACCAAATAGGAAGACTCTAATGCCTTCATCCGATCGCCACCGCAAAAGGGGGCAAGAGTCCTCCCTCCCTCCCTCCCTATCTCTTTCTTAAGGAGACGCAACATCTCACACGATGTAAAAATAGTACACTTGTTTCGTATAGCGAGCATAGAATCTGCAACTCATACGTGTGTGTGTCTATCGAGGTGATACAAATACACTCAACATGCGGCGGTGATGCTGCTACGACGGCAGTGGTGCACCAGCACAATTAACAACAACAAAAACCATAACAGATGTGTGCTCTGAAAAAGGTGCCATATAATGTGTGCTATGAGGAAGGGTCATTGCCCCAAAACATCGCTTTTAATTTTTTGTACAGATAACACGACGACACAAAACAAGGGGCGATGGGCGCTACGCCATCAACCAGTAATCCAACGGAGTCAGCAATCACTTTGCTGAGTAATCCCTGCAGAGGGTACTCCCCACCATCTCGGCGCACGTGATGGTGATGAAGATGATGATCGTGATGATGGTGATGGCGATGATGATGGTGTCGGTGGTATTCTGCTTGCGAACAATGGCGAGCGCCTTTACGTTCGAGCGAGCGCTGTCCAGGGCCGGGGGTGCTGAAGAGCACTGAGCTAACAGCGATCAAACAAAAGGCAAAGATCCCCCGTTCAGCCTTAACGGACTATTGGGGCAAGTGCTATTAGCGAGCACCTATCAATACTGGCACGGCATACGAGGGGGTCGGTGGCCAGCACCACGCCCGGCCCTCTCTGTCTCCCTAGTGGCGATTTTTCAACACTGCACCACACACACCCACATACAAACACAAAGACACACACACACCTATAGCCACACAGACACCACACTGTCACAAACCACACGTACCGATACGGACGTGCATTCCATCCTTTTGCATATGTTAGCATATAAAAAAGGCGAAGGAAGGTGGTGAAAAACCGTGCACGCACACATACATGTATGCAATCATACATGTTTGCCTATACATATGTACACAAACAATACATGTATACACGTGTATATCTATGCATGTGTGCGTATGCTCATATGTATGCATATGCATACGAGTGTCACATATACATGTACACACATGCATAAATATGTGTATCTATACATACACGTTTACCTATACATGTATGTGTGTATGCATGCACACATGTCCCTGCGCGAATGTTGGCTCCTGTGTTGAATGAGTGCTGCTCATTGCGCTCGCGTGTCGGAGGCACGATGGCAGCAGCAGCATCATCATCATCATCACCATCATCATCACCACCACCATCATCATCACCACCACCACCATCATCATCATCACCATCATCATCACCATCATCATCATCACCATCATCATCACCACCACCATCATCATCACCACCACCATCATCATCACCACCACCACCACCATCATCCTAGGACGCGTCTCGCCCCACTCTTACCCGACCAATTCGCTCCGGCGGCGCTCGTCCGGTTGCGCACTGCGAGTACCCAGACTCGAGGAGGAGGACGAGGAGGAGGAGGACGAGGAGGAGGAGGACGAGGAGGACGAGGAGGAGGAGGACGAGGAGGAGGAGGACGAGGAGGAGGAGGCGGCAAGAAGTATGACGACCACGGCTCGTTCCTTGCTGCCCTCGCCGCACCACCACCACCGCAGCAGCAGCAGCAGCAACGTACCCGGAGCAACGCTTGCGACTCTCCGGTGCCGGACCGGAGCTGTGTGGTCAACCCACGGAGCGAATGTATTATTTTGGGGGCTCCCCGAGAGAGAGGGAGCGTGCGCGCGTGAGGGAGAGTGGCGAGCGAGAGAGAGAGAGTGGCGGACAGGGAAGAGGAGGAGGAGAGAGAGAGGGAGAGAGCAGGGCGTGTTTTGCGGGCGATTTTTCCCTCCCTGCATGGGCGATCTGGCGCCGGTCGCGCGCATGCGCCCTCGTACTGCGCCAGATGTTCATAGGGGGGTAAAGAATGGACGTAGTGTATGCACCGTGATGGGTGTTTGCATCGTTATGTCGGGAGCTAGGTAATATATATCTCATCTGTGCATGGGCAGGCTATTGGAATGAGTGCAATGCACACGCGCGCGCACACACACGTACATCAGGACATCATCATCGTCATGGACATCATAATCGTAGGTGCTATGAAGCACAAACACAGCACTGCTATGATTTCAGTGGATGGGTGCATGGCTGACTGTAGCATCATCGTGCTCCAAGATGTTTAATGCATCTCATTACCGCAGCGCCAGAGGAATGTGTTTCTGTTTCTCTTGTTGTATATTGTTTCAACGTCGCGCAGTTTTTATTTCGCGCAAAAGCCTTGGTACCACCGTTGGCTCTGTCACGTGATAATTCACGTTACACCCTTTGCGATTGTTTTAACCTAACCTATTACAGCTGTAAACATTATTTTTTTTATTTTTGCAGGTCAGGCCCACTGAGTTGCATAGCTCTTTATCAGAAGCGACCTGGGCACAAATGATAGCTCAGCGAAGTGGCTTATTACGTGGAAATGTTAGCAGCCGAATAGTCCAAACGCACGTTTCTAAATGTGGAGGGAAAAACCGGAGAACCCGGGAAAAAAACCTCGCCAACACGGAGAGAGACATGCAAACTCCAAATATGCAGCAGGCGTCAAGATTGGGATCAAACGTGCGATCTCCTGTATACCAGGTGAGGTAGTTAACATCTCGCCACCGCGGCGAACCATCTAGTATGATTCAGTATTCTTTGGGTCTTTCGGTAAAATCACGTAGATAGGTTCAAAGGAAATAACAAAAAATTACAAAAAAAAACTACGACGTTTCGATCGCAACACAAGCGTTCGTCATCAGGAAGAAAAAAATGCTTTCTTTTCTTCCCGATGACGAACGCTTCCTGACGACGAAAGCTTGTGTTACGATCGAAACGTCGTAGTTTTTTGTTATTTTTTGTTACTTTCTTTGAACCTATCTACGTGACTTCACCGAAAGACCCAATTAATATGAATTCCTGCAGTCACGAAAGCTTTAAGTCAAGTATTTTCATTGAAATATGCGGCGAAGTTATTGCAGTTATCATGCTGCATTGCAGTTCGCAGTGAATGAAGGGAGAGATCGGCTTCTATTTAGAAGGTAGCGAATTAAAAAAAAATCCCGGTTGTTGCAGATCGACGCGGTCCCATCATCACTCCGGAATCGATTAAATAAGTAGCACGTTGTGAGCTATCAGCTGTTTTATGGACAGGGCTGGCTGCTGGCATAGCAACGTGAACCTTTCCACCACTGGTGCAGGGCAGCCAATGGAGCGGGGAGACATTGACCGGACTCGTTCACGCAAATGTACAGATCTCTTCATCAAGCCACCGCTGGATGAGGGCCTTGCCACGCCGTGCGGGCTATGGGAGTTATTTGACCATGCTTCACCACGCTGGACAAGTGCGGGAATTGTGGAGGTGGACAGCATGGACGTGGCAGTGCGACAATGAGTGTTGCTGCACTACCCTCGACGTAGCCCAGCTCAAGCCTATAACACCTGTTTCTTTTACATCTTGGTCCCTCATTCTGGAATTATCTCACTTCAAAAAACCTGCTTAGCTTCTGACATTGGATAAGCTTGGTGGAATGTCGGTGATTTGGCCATGTGTGTTGGTATAAGAACTCACAAACAACAAATACACGTGTTTTATTTATTTCTCACAGCCAATGTGATCCAAAGCATGTTATAGTAATACTTTTCTGCCCACTCGGCGTACACACTGACTTGAGAAAAACCAGTTCATCCATTAGCACATTTCATTACTTAAATACCACTGCGATCAATAGACAGTGATTATTTTATTGTTTAGTGTATTCGCCACTATCTATATAGTAATGAAACAATATATTAGGTCATTTAAATGTGCAGTTTTTGAAAAAAATATCTAAAATATATAGCAGTTTGCACCATGCAACTCGGAGATCAAGGTGTTGGCACGTGGTTAGCGTTTCCGGATAAAATCCAAGAATTGCGATAATGAGATTTATCTTTTTTGCAGGAGTGACATGTCATTTATCTTACCCAGTCGGGTGATATGAGAAGCTGATTACCGCCAGCTGCCTCATGTGCATAACAACCTTAGGAAGCCACTATAGGGCTCACCCGATCCTATGCAGAGTGCAACACGTGGGGACAAACTGATGGAATAATGACCGTATTGGTGAAACCGCATTGTTGACATGGTAACTCAATGAGCGCCGCCGATAATGATGTTAACTCCAATTTGCATCAAACATAAACTGACACGAGATGCTGTCACTGCGTAACGGTTATTACGCTGGGCTTGCGACCCAGGACGCCGGTTCGATTCGATCTTCCTGCGCGGTTGTTGAGAAAACGGTGCAAGTTTATTAAATCGATACTCTTTGGTTCTTTCGGTAAAGTCACGTAGTTAGAAATGAAATAAAATAAATCACGACGTTTTCGATCGCAACACAAGCGGTCGTCATCAGGCAAAGGAGTCAGCCTCTAAAGGCAAACTGTTTATATGAACAGTTTGCCTTTGAACAGTTTGCCTTTGAACAGTTTGCCTTTGAACAGTTCGACTTTGAACAGTTTGCCTTTGAACAGTTTGCCTTTGAACAGTTCGCCTTTGAACAGTTCACCTTTGAACAGTTCGCCTTTGCACAGTTTGCCTTTGCACAGTTTGTCTTTGAACAGTTCACCTTTGAACAGTTCGCCTTTGCACAGTTTGCCTTTGAACAGTTTGCCTTTGAACAGTTCGACTTTGAAGAGGCCGACTCCTTTGCCTGATGACGACCGCTCGTGTTGCGATCGAAACGTCGTTATTTGTTTTATTTGATTTTATTTCTAACTACGTAACTTTACCGAAAGAACCAAAGAGTATGGATTTCTGCAGTCACGAAAGCTTCAAATCAAGATTCATTAAATCTCTCCGCCTCTGTCCACACAAGCAGTGTAAGTGGGTTCACCACAGATTTGCCGATCAGCAGGCCGCCATCTGGCTATAATGCCCTCTCTGGGGGGCTCTGTAGGCTCTCTAGAGCTCGGGCAATGTCAAGCTGTACTATTTAGAGGTGTAAGATAGATGACAGAATGTATGCTTCTGTGATCACAAGAGCTGACAGTAATGCAAGTTGTTTTTCGTGAGACTGCAATATGCTCAGGAGCTAAATACCAACGTCGGGATATTCCAGCCACGACGTGAGGGCTTCAGGAGAGAGTTCGGGTACTTTTGCTAAACATCTTCTGTTGAAAGATTGCAGACCACAATGGTTTACTGAACTAAATGGTCCTTAGTTGCATGGCCACGGCCACACTGTGCACTGTCTTTAATATTCCATTCATGAAGGAGAGGTGTACGTCGGCGTGTTGATATTCTGATGCGGATTATGGTTACATCAGTGCCTTCAAGGAGGAGTTGTCAAAGTCAGGAGGTGCGATGTTTGGGTCTCGAACGAGCTGTTACTTCTGGATGTCCGCATCGCCCCCCCCCCCCCTGTTTCTTCAACGTTCATAATGACACCTTGCCGATATTAACTATGTTAACCTATTTGTATTTTTTATTTTTAAATTATATCTTAAAGCTATTTTATACTCGATATTTATTAAATTTTATATACTTCAGCCCCTTGGTGTTAGTTAGACTTTTAACCCTTATTATTATAGTAAGACTTGTTTAAAACTTATTTAAGATTTTAGATTCCTATATGTTGAATGTATGCACCATCCTGCCAAAGTAAATTCCGTGTCGGTGTGAACTTTCATGGCGAATAAAACCCTTTCTGATTCTGATTCTGGATCTGGGTTTGGGTTCTAGGATGGTGACAGCGGAGTGAGCCCCCAAGGGGAATCTGGTTTGAGTCGGTGGTGTGGTGCTTTCTCGAGCCCTTGGTTTGTGGGGCAAGGTGGTTGTCGATGACAAGGCAATGTGTTTATTCCCTTGCAGAACAGCGGACACCAGGGGGTTGGTGTCGGTTTTATTGTCCTAGTTACGGATGCGCATCCCGTTATTTAATTGAGCACCAGGCAGTTTTGAGCACGAGCTCCCGCACCAGACTGGGGCACGATACTCTACCATCGAGCAGATCAGGGAGAGGGCGGCAGCTGGCAGCGGTATCAGCTGAGGCACCCTGGGTCGTTCCTGCAAGTTTCTGTAGCAGGGCTATTCTTGATTCGGTGTTTTTGCAGATCTGTTTTACGTGGGGCCTCAAGGTCAGGCATCTGTCCATGATAACCCCCGAGGTATCTTGGAGTGGGGTCATATTGCTCTGGGCTACCACAGAAGGTCACATCATCAAGGGTGGCATCTGCCGCATTATTGGATCGAGCTTGTGATGGTTTTTGGAAGGATTTTGTCGGAGTCTCCAGCGCAGAGTCGCATTAACCCATAGGCCACAGTAGGCACTGTGCCTAGCGCCTACGAAAACTAAAGGGGCCTAGGAGAAAAATAAGACCAGGCTTGTTGTTTGTTTGTATGATGAATGTATTTACGTAGCAAGGGTAAGCACAGTGTGTATATATACGAAGAGGCAGAGTCATTTCAATCGGTCTTTTTGTTTTTATATATAACGTGAGATAAATTAACACTGGAGATGCATTTTTCCACATTTTTTCATTGCAAAATTAGCAATAACATCTTCAAACGGTGTTTTTTCGCACAATCCCATTCTCAATAGAGAGTAGTGCCGGGGGAGACAAGGCGGCGTTGTGGTGCTACGCGTGAAACAAGCGGAGTGACAGCGGCGGTAGTCAGTAACATGAGGCAACCAGTAGCAACTTGTAGAAAGTTATCACTGAAGGCCTACGACACACAAGTGCATAGGGCCTGCAAGAACCTCAATCCGGCCCTGCTCCA